GGTATGCGAACGGAAATCTTGAATATTCGTCTATAATAGTGAGTAGATACTGATTTTTTGAATTTGTGGGTAGGGGTCCTTTAAAATCTATGTTTAATCTTTCAAATACACTTGTAGCTTTTATTAATATTCCACGGCTGTTGCAAAATTTAGGTTTTACTTCTGCACAGATTTTACAGCCACGTGTCATTTGTCGTATATTATCAATGCTGTATGGTAAGTTTTTAGATCGCACCCAATGAAACATTCGAGTGACTCCAGGATGACAAAGCGATTCATGTAAAGAAAAAAGATTAGGTTCTGTATGAACAGATGCACACATTCGAGATAGTGCATCCGCTGCAAAATTTTCTTTCCCAGGTCGATATATAATGTCATATTTAAAACAAGAGAGCTTCAGGCGCCACCTCATAATCTTGTCATTTTTAATTTTACTATTATGCTTGGTGTTAAACATGAATGATAGCGATTTTTGATCAGTTATTAAACGAAATTCTCGTCCTATTAGAAAATGCCTCCACTTACGGACAGATTCTACAATGGCATATGCTTCTTTTTCAATTGCAGAGTGTTTTCTTTCACACTCCGTAAGTGATCTTGAAAAGAAAGCAACAGGTCTCCCTTCCTGTGAAAGTGTCGCTCCGATTGCGAAATTTGATGCATCTGTTTCGACAGTGAATGGGATTTTGCTCTCAATGGCATGAACAGATGACTTAATTATTTCTTGTTTTAAACTTTCGAAAGCGTTTACTGCATCATTGTTCAATGGAAAATCATTGTTATTAATAATAATTCGAATCTTTTCGGAAAATTTCGGTATCCATTTAGAATAATGTGAAAACATTCCTACTGTCCTTCTTAACGAAGCAGCATCCGTTGGAATAGGCAAATTTTGTAGAGGTTTGATTCTTTCTAAATCTGGAGTGATCATTTTATTATTAATGTTATATCCAAGAATAGAAATATTTTTAATTGAAAATGTACATTTTTTCTCATTTATAGTAAGATTGATTGTTTGACAGCAGACATAAACTTCTCAAGATGTCTTCATGGTCTTCTTTATTCTTACCACATACGGTAACATCATCTAGATAGGCGAACGTAGATTGTAGATTTTCCGTTCGTATTATCCAGTCTATAGTTCTCTGAAAGCTACTTACACCATTAGTAACTCCAAATGGGATTCTACAAAATTGATATAAATTTCCGACTGCTTCAAAAGCAGTTAATGGTTTTTCCGTATCAAGGATCGGAATTTGGTGATACGCGCTTTTTAAGTCAATCTTTGAGAATAATTCGTACTTAGCAATATCTTGTACAATTGTCTCTATATTTGGCAATGGGTAAGCGTCCAAGTAAGTATATTTGTTGATAGTTTGTGAATAATCAATGCAAAGACGCTTTTTGTGATTATCATTTTCTATTACAAGAACTTGAGCTCTCCATGGAGATCTGCTTTCTTCAATAATACCATTTAATAATAATTCCTGAATTTCATTAGCAATGAATTTTAAATCGTCTTTAGAAAAACGTCTAGATTTAGTGACTATAGGTTTACAGATCGACGATAAGTTAGGAAAAATTGATACTGGAGGAATCATAGCTGCGGTTACTCCGCAAATTTCAAGTTTTGCTCTTGGACCACCAAAATTTAATTGAACTTTGCAATGTTGAGTTAATACATCATGACCAATAATAATATCCGCACATAAATGTTTTACAATAAGTAATTTTATATTTTTATAAATGTGATTTCCTATGCTTATTGACGTAATACACAGGCCTTCTACATTCGATGTATAATTAGTCGTAGCCATTGTCACTTTCTCTGAACATTCTTCTTTTATTAGACAACAGCGATCAAAAAATAAACTATTAATGTAGCTTCTAGAACTTCCTGAATCGATTAAAGCCTGAGCATTTACCCCCTTTATTTTTATAGTTACAATTGCTTTACCGAGGCATGCAGGTGATGCAGCTATGACAGAAGCTACAGCGTCCATGTCATCTATTTCCATTGCGGCATTTACAGATTTTTTTGAGTTACGACATGCTTTGGCCCAATGTCCCTTTTTATCACATATTTGACAAATCGCATTCCTTGCAGGGCAATTTGAACGCAAGTGTATATTTCCGCCACAAAAAAAACATTTCTTTCGATTGTATAAAGTTTTCTGATAAGCCGACGAAAACTCATGATTTTTAACATGAGTTTGTGATTGCGAAGCATTTATTGGATTGATCTGATATTCTTGAGCAGTAGACTTCGCTAGCTCCAATGATACTGCTTTGTTATATGCTTCATCTAAAGAAAGTGATAAATTTGCTAATAATCTCTGTCTGATATTATTACATGAGATACCAGAAATGAAGGCGTCTCTTATATACTCTTCTTTATATTTTTCAGCAGACACTGATGTAAATTCACATTCTAGACTTTGTAGTTTTAATTTATGTATAAAACTGTTGAATCTTTTCCCCGTTTTCTTGTTTTGAGGTGATAAGCTTGTGTCTTGCAAAAATTATATTTTTTGGTTTGACGAATGCAAGCTCTAAATTATTGATCGCATCTTTTTGTAGCTAACACAATGACATATATATTCATAAACTTTTGATGATAGATGATTAATCAGAAGTTGCAATCTTGCTTTTTCATCTTTAACATCATTTATAGCCAAAAAATTTTCAAAAGTTATATACCAATGTCTCCATTCTTATGCCGCGGTAGCAGATGAAGAATCGGTTTCAAATTTCTCTGGTCTTAAAAATCTCTCCATACTTCTTGAGAATTATTTTATTGAATTGTTGATTCTTTCTGCTTAATAAATTGATAAATAATACAAAACCTAGTAATTAGGTTTTATTAAGCAGAAAATATATACATACGTAAGTACAATTGTGTCAGTAATAAGGAACATCCAAAAGAATAATTTTAAAACAATGTTTACATTTATGGCGAATGGCCAGTATTATATCAGACACCATAGGACATTATGCTGTGAAAATAAGCATAATAAACTGATTTAGCTGTTTCCTCGTTAGTTAGCTGCCTGATTTTGCGTATGGTAAAGACAGCAGCGCTCTTAGCTAACTTATCTACATGAAATCCCCATTGCAACTTGGAGTCAACGCTTATTCCAAGAAATGCTGTTGAATCCTCAAGGGGTAGGATTTTCTCATCAATAGAGATTCCTGATTGGTGACACAACTTTGAAAGAGTAAATCTAATACATTTTGTTTTATTGGAGTTCAAAAGTAAGTTATTGGTAGCAAACCAGCCAGACACAAAATCTAGTATTTCATTTGGTTGTTCTAGTGTATCATCTTTCCTTTTAACTTTAAACAATAGTGAAGTGTCATCCGCAAATTTTCCATGCATATATATGGCAAATCATTAATATAAACTAAAAACAAAAAAGGACCCAGGATCGATCCTAGAGGAACGCCCATTTTTACTTTTGACCTCGTTGACAATATACCACCATGATTACTTTTTGTTCCCTGTCAGTAACATACGAGGAAACAAAGTCAATGGCACAATTGCTAATACCATAATATTCCAATTTTCTGATTAGCTTTGTATGATCTTCACAATCAAATGCCTTGCCAAGGTCACAGAACACACCAATGATGTCATGAAAGCTTTTCCAGGACTGCAGGATATGTGAAACTAATTCTATGCCTGTATCAGTTGTAGTTATACCTTTAGTAAATTCAAATTGGTGCTGGTTTAAAATTTTATATTTGTTAAAATGAACTATCATTTGATCAAGCATTATTATCTCAAACACTTTGCTTAAGGCCGGCAACATAGAGATAGGACGGTAATTAGAGGCATTATCTCTCGAACCCGATTTATATACTGCACTTTTCGACAGTCTATTTATATACAACTTTACTATATTTCATTAACATTGGGAATTTAACTTTATTTAAAGACAATTTAATTTTATTACTTAAATAATCTGCTTTAGCTAAAGTACAGACCCTTAAATTTTTTTGAATAATTCCTAACGTATTCATGGAAGTTAGGATCAAAAGATAATGATTAATACCATAAGATCATATAGTTTATCCCTGCTCTTTCTAATTCGCCTAACTGCCCATTCACTAAAGCAAAGTTTATTACCTAAAGTTATAGTTTTTCTTTTTGGCATAATTTTATTAAACTCTGTAGTAATCATATTAAACAAAACATTGAAATTGTCATCGGGATCATTATTAGTTAACTTTAATAAGGGTAGCTTGTGTTTGACGCTATCTCTAAACTGTTTAATTCTGAACTTATTTACAAGCTTACACTTACTCTTCAATAATCAATAAAAAAATTATAAGGTCAGGTGAGGGTGATCTATAAACACACATTAATAAATAATCTTCTGTCTCTGCACAAGCAATCTCACATAGTCGTTCAACAGAGCATGCAAAAATATCAGTTCTTTCTTTTAATTTCAAAGTATTTCAGATACTCTGTTAAATTTACTGGCTACTGAATAATTTCTTATACTAAATGTCATATCATTGAGCCATGTCTCAGTAAAGCACAAGATATCTACATTATATTTATTGATTAAAAGTTCTACGTCAATGATCTTGCCAGAGAAACGGTTTATATTTTGATATAACATGCTAACAGTTTTAATATCTGGTTTCTCCTTTGTCTGCCTTAAATTACAAAAAAAGTATGAGCTTCAGTATTAATAGACAGTCTATTTAATACTGGATTGTCATTATTTATATTATATGCTAATAACATAGCTATCTTGTGCTTATATTTACTTGGTAGATACACTGTATCTTGAGTCAAAATTAAAAGATTAATAAATTTATTCATGTCAAATAAATTAAATATGTCATTATGATGGCATGTCAGGTGATGCAATAATTGATTTAATTGATATATATATCATCATTATTTTTTCCTGATGATGAAATAATGTAAGGGAACGTACACCAAATATTTTTTTTTTACTTTTACGGTGTACAGTAAGAAGAAACTATGATCCAGCGTGGGAATCGGAACGCTCTACCCTAACGGGCAAAGTCGGACGGGGCCTCTCTCTACCAGCAGTCGTGTCGGCGATGCTGAGTGGAGATACGGCATAGAGGGCCGTAGCCACCTTCTGTGAGAAGGTAATGGTCCAGAAGGAGGCTGCTGAGTGAGAGAGAGAGAGAGGATGGATCCCACCCGGAGGCGGGGCCGCAGACATGCTCGCGCATCTCTTCATGGCCCTTTAAATAATAATGGTTCTCCCCTACCTGCAATAGGGGCACAAAGGTCGCTGTGAAGGCAGCAGACCGATGCAGGTACAGTCCTAAATATCTAGCACTGCGAGGATGGGGCTATCTAAGCCATACGAAGGAGGGGCCGCGGTAGTATTCCGAAAGGAGATCCCGTGACCTCCCATTTGAGTAGCTGGCGACCAACGTGGGGTTTTAGTCGGTGAGAGTCCGACATAATCTGGGTTACCGCTCACAGGGAGCTCAGGTATCCATAATGGATTTCCCCACGAAAAAAAAAAAGGAGAAACTATGAACTATATCTCGTTTTTTTTAAGTGTGTGCTATTTCCAAACATTATTTAAAAAAAATTAACGGTGGTAGAGCCACGCAACTGCCTCGGCTGTTGCACGAATGGGCAGGCTCGTCCGGGTTAGTACCACGACCTCACAGAAGACCAGCGTAAAGTGGAAGTATGACAAATACTTTCGCGTTTCGTCTGGTGAGTGAGGTACCCGGAGCCCAATTTCCAAAAAGGTTGTCAACGCATTGCAAACCCTCGGGTGTAGCAGATGTCTATGGGCGGCGGTATTCACTTAACATCAGGTGAACCGTCTGCTCGTTTGGCAACTTTTCACATAAAAAAAATTATAATTGTTGTTTCCGTATTTACTTTTGCCTTCATAGAGCAGCATTTATTAAGTGGTGTAAAGGAGCTCCTGGCTGTCAATTATTAGTGGCTGGTTTATTCGGCTTGCGAATGCCGATAACCGTGGCTTCTTTCCAGTCGTAAGGAAAGGAGCAACTGGAGAGTAAAGTGTTGTAAATAGTCGCCAGTAAACAGATAAGCGGCCCAGGGAGTGCTTTAAGAATTTTATTACTAATATTGTCTGGGCCTGGGGCGGATTTGGGTTTTAAATTTTTAATAATGTCTTGGACCTCTTCGGGGGTTACTGAATTTAAAGGATCACCTTGCGGTGGAAGCGCAGCCTTGGTCTCGATTACGCGGTCCACCTCCGATAGGTGGGCTGTATCGGTGTGCTCGCGCGATGGCGTACATTGCTGCTCTAGGTTGTCCGCAAGGCATTCGGCTTTTTCGGAGTCATCTAGGGCTATTGAAGCCGTACTTTATACTATCCATGTCTTAGGTACAACACATTACACATCATATAACACCAGAATATACAAGATATTATATAAAAGGTTTTCAATGTAACACACCATATACAAAACAAAGACATAAACATATACATATAATATATATAAATATACAGACATATAGTATAAATTTATACATATCAAGATACATATTTAAAATATATGACCATTAGTGACTATACGACAACATCCGCCAAACTAATTTATTCAATCCTTCTTTAAATAATACTCCCGTACCATGAAGGAAGTAAAGCCCTGGTAGGCGCTCTTCGTACGTCTTCAGGCAAGGAATTCCAAACCAGTGTAGCCTGTACGGTGAAAGAGTTACCGTGAAAACGTTAAGAGTTATCGTAAGAAACATGTTGAGTTATTCTAATTTTCAGATTAGATGAAGAGCGTAGATCCCTTTAATTGTTTAACGAAAGGTATTGAAAATTGTCTTTAAGATATAACGGAGAAGCTGGATCATTTATATATACATATATCTCTGAAAAATCGATTTGGCTAGTTTTTTTTAGAAAATGTCGTTTTATCCCAGTTTTCAGGGAATGAAAAATATCACTCGAATAGGACGGTAAATTTCACCGAAAACAAAAATGTTATAATAGCTCGGTCGGTAATCGGGCGGCCCCGAAACAGAAGGCCGTGGTTCGTGTCACGATCATATTTACACTACTTTTACTATTTTTCGATTCCAGATCATTGCTTTCTTTATTTTTTTGTTTTTTGTTGATCTAGATGAATTTGTTGTTTTTCCCTTTTTTTTAGTTCTTTCCTTTGGGAAAAACACCAGTTCATATTTTCTTATTATTACGTCGGTAAGATATACCCAGTAATTTGTATCTAATTGTAATTTCTAAAATACACGATTTACCAAAAAAAAGGAAACAAACCGAGTAAAGCTCTGTCCTCCAGGTACTTCGATTAAATAAAAAAAACGTCATGTATTGCAGTCATCTTGCTACAATGACTACAAAGTTCGTAGAGAGACCCTTTTGAGTTACAATCCAAATTTATTTTTATAAAAGTAAATGCAAAAATAGAAGCAACTATCAGGAAAAATTACTTTAAGTGATTTCTCAGCTACAAATGGTACTGATATTTGTAACCTATACGCAAAACACTTTTCATGCGTTTACAATACTGACAGGTTTGATGGTAGCAGTATAAATTTTCCCTTTGAGCAGGAGGCTCACCGACAGAATATTGATAGTTATTGTCAATGGCTTTCAGACACAATTAAAAACTTTGTCTGGAGTTTCACAAGGGTCATTTCGGGCCTATTCTATTTAATATTTTCATCAATGAAATAAGTGAATATTTCCTGCACACCAACTTTTATTTATTTGCGATTTAAAATTCTTTAGACGATTAGACTATTCAAAATTCTTTCGTTGTATAGACACCTGTCGTGATTCTACTCTACTTCAACAAGATTTAGATAGACTTATCTGTTGGTGCGATTTAATCGGAATGAACCTTAACATCGACAAGTGCTACTTGTTTGGGTGCACAAGAAAAAGTCACCAACACCAGGTCCATATAATATTTAGAATATTTATCTTGAGAGAACTTCCGAAATTCGTGATTTACGCGTGCATTTTGATTCTAAATTACGGTTCCATTGTCATATAGATAAAATCTGTAAAACCGCTTTTAAAAATTTAGGTTGCATCCTGCGCCATTAGAGAAGCTTCAACAATCCTTCGACTAGCATAATATATAACACCTACGTTCGCACGAGGTTTGGAGTACTGTAGCGTTATCTGGAACCTATTTTACAATGTTTATGAAAAAAGACTAGAGCGTCCAAAAACGTTATGTTCGTTCGCGTATAAATAAATATGATTTAGCAAAAAAACTACCCACCTATAATGACAGGCTAAATCATTGAGCGAAATTGTATATTAGACAACCTGTTCTCATATAAATTAATCAACGGTGCATTGGATTGTACTGAAGCAGCTACCTCTAGATCAATACGAAATGAAGTCAGGAAAATGTTTGAACTCATTGATCTTCTTCTTCTTCTTCTAAGGCAGTTGGCAATCCTTATGAGATCGCCAATGGTCATTTACACAATAATGGTAAAGAAACAAATAAATGGTTTCAAATATCAAGAATATCTTGTAGTAGTTTATTTTTGTCTAGCTTTTATAATGAAATGATGAAGAGAATGATTTTATGAATATTCAAAATGTATATATTTATATAAAGAATATCTAAATAAAAAAAATTACATAATTATTGCAATTACCTAGAACAAAGAAAATAAGATTGTAATTATTATGCTAAGTCCACAACTTCATATTACAACAATTAATAAAATTACATAAGATATAAACAAACGAAGAATTTGCAGATGTTAAAAGGTTTTTGATGTTAGATGAACGAGGGATGTTAGAAGGAAGATGATCATAGAAGGAACCTGGAATTCTGGGACAGTTAAAAAATATATGATCAGGTGAATCATCGTCTATGCCACATTCACAGATGGAACTAACTATCTTTTATTCTTAATTTGGCAAGATGAACATTAGTGCAGACATGCCCAAGTCTAAGTCTGCCGACAATAGATGTGGCATGCTTATTATCTTTAGGAAACTTACAAGAGCCATGGTTTGGTTGGAATACCAGGTTGAATTGATGCATAGTGTTTCCCTCTCTCTCTACTAGATTTCATTCAGAGCTCGTACCAAACACAATTTGATCTGATTTTAGCATATGATAATAAGTCACGAGAGAAACAAGTATATTGGGATAGAGGGCCAGTTTTAATTGCTTCCTTGGCACAATGGTCAGCAATTTCATTTACTTGAATATCACTGTGCCCAGGAATCCAAGCGATAGATATCAATATTCCCTTTCTTATAACACCTGTAAAGAGCAACTCTAATCTTGTAAACTAAGTTTATAACGAAAGAGATAAGCTGAAATGGCTTGCAAACAACTTTTAGAATCTGTGAAAATGATAGTTTTAATAAAAGCATATTAACAAATAACTAACAATTGAAAGTAAAGTGTAAAGGAAATGTTTGTTAATATCGTATTATTCATTTTTAAACGTGATCTACTCATGCTTAAAGATAAGACGTAAAACTTAATTTATGGGATATCAATAACGCTATGCGTTTTTGGAAATGTTACGTTAATTTTTATATTACTGATTAGCTTCAAATAGTTATATATTTATAACCTCGATAAACATCCCCATTAACGTAAATTGCATTCTTCAAATACTACTGTAGATCTTGAATGCATTTCATGCTTGAATGCATGAGTAAAGATTTTACATCTGATCTGATTTTACAAATGAATAAATGAAATATACTTTATTGTACAGTACAAATGCTATTGTATAACAATTGCCCTAAGGGTACCAACCCTCTTTACAGGGGCCCAGCAGTGGGACATTTATAGGCTGTTACGTTACTACTTCTGCTTCCACGGAAAAGAACTTGGAGTAGAAAGACGTGCTATGGGAAGGATTTCTGTAGACTAAATTGTCATCGGAGTGCTCTCCGCTCGAATGACAATTTAATCCTGGATGAGAAGGGGACGAGGGGTAGTTGAATTGAATAGAACAGAATGTAAGAGTGATAGCATGTGAGTAATCCTGTGAAAGTGGATTGAAAGACATTAGCCAATTGCGCTTATTTTGGATTTCAAAAGCATGGTCATATTTACGAATATATAAGAACCGTACGCAAAGATTTCGGATGTGCTCAGGTTAATTAAATTGTTCTACGGTTAAGTATAAGTTACATGTATCGGCATAATCGAATTGGTAAGACGAGAGATTCCACTAGAGCAACAGCTGCAATCAACCTACTCTTCAGTAACGTCTCACGGTTAAAACCCAAGAGTGAAATATAACGAATACAAAAGCAAAATTTTATTTTTAAATCTGCATGTTGGTCCTTTCTTAGTGAATATAAAAAAGTTTAAAGTATTTACTTTTTTGTGTTAATAAGTCGACTTTAACGTACTACAGTATCACGGGGTTATTTATGATATTTAAACAACTATCACAGTTTTTCGTAGTGACCCATTATTTTTTCGCCAATTACAAAAAAGTACAATTAAGAAAAACATGTTTGTAAAATTAACCTTAAGGATTGATCGTTATAATTAGGATATATTTTTAACAAACGCATATTGATTATATCGATACGGCAGAAAGACGTTAGGGCTGTCATTATACCCTGGGTTATTTCCACAATTTTTTTATTTTACCATGAAGTAGCCAGTTTGTGTGATAAAATTGAAGTATCCTTTGTTTTTAAATTAAAGTTTGTTTGAAAAGTGAGATTTGAAAAAACATTTGACGACCCGAATGGCGTAGTGGTTAGTGTATCTGCCTTCTGCGTCGGAGGGTGTGGGTTCAACCCCCACTACTGGAAAAATATTGAGTGATGAACATAGTGTTTTTCTAGTATCTGGGTGTTTATGCACGTATAATATGTTATTTATTTTCAAAAGAAAACTAGATTTATCAGTTATCTAGCCTACCTATAGTACAAGCGTTGCTTAGTTTGAGATTAGAGAACGTTGTATAAAAATGTGTCCTAATATATTAAAATTATTAACATAATCTAGTTCCAAGTCACTGCAGATGCACAGCAATATTCCATTGTGCTCGAAATATCCGATATAATAATAATGAAATCATGGACCAGATCAGTTTCAAACAACAGCATTTCTGTATTACGAGTACAAGGTTTCTAGCAATGCGATCCTCAATGTACTTATTGCGCTTTTGACTTGTATTATGCAATATTTTAGCCAACGGATTAAAAGAAATATTGCTATCATATGTTCTTTTTTCATACATATAAGTAAATATAATCAAAGCCTAATTAGGGGCATAGATTATACACCTTTTCCTCCAGATCAAATTATATTTTTAATAAAATAATTTATTTTAAATTAAATCATTGCACCCATTTTTTTATGAGCCGTGATAGCTCAGTGACCGGGGCTCGCCTTTAATTCAATATACTCGAGCAACTTCAGTTCGATCCCCGGTGCCGGCACTAATGAAGTTTTTAACTTTAAGTGCTGACTTATCACGTGCTCCGCGGTGAAGGAAAACATCGTGAGGAAACCTGCATATTTTCGAAATAATAACAAAAAAATAAATATTTCGAAAATATGTGAAGTCCGCCAATCCGCAGTGGGGCCGCGTGGTGGATTATACCCTGATACCCTCTGTATAGAGGAGGCCTTCGCCCTACAGTGGGACATGTATAGGCTGTTACTTTACTTTTTTTACTTTTACCCTTTTTATAACATATATTTTGTTTTTATATTAAGGTTTTGAATACATTGCTGAATCCATAGGATTTGCAGATCACTGAATGGGACTGACAGGAGTCGGGCTACCTTCAGCTATTTGTTATATAACATTATTAATGTATCGGCTTGGATTGTTATTATTAATAAAATTAAGTATTACTACTCGCTTTATATAATAAGAAACTAAATTTTTCGAATAAAAAAAACTAGCGGTTACTATGAGATAAGAGCATACAACATCTACGACTATCCGTCTGTTTGGGATTTTAAAACAACAATTTACTTTGATATAAAATAAGTTTCTTTACCAAGGCATAATAGTCACATATTATATATGCTTAGTTATAAGAATATAAATATGCTAATTTGCTTTATCATTAAAATAAATGAAAATATGTAATTTGATTCTTGAAACTGTCATAAACTTTTTATTAAATGACATTAAGAACCGGGATTTAACGTCACTTAAGGACTTATAGAATGCTCCATATTATATGGACACGTATTTTATAATGGGGTACATACATATAATATTAATAACGCATCTTTGCGGGATACGTCAATAACAAGATAGTGTAGGCGTTTATTGTCCAATACGCGTAAAAGTATTTTAACGATGCGATTACTACACTCATCCTGATGGAAGACGCAGGTGATTCACAGATGATGAGTGCAAAGGGTGTTAGCAGAAGTGTAAGCGCAGTAGGCGAGAGGGGCGGGCGGGGCGCAGATTGAGGCCACTATTTAACCGCATGTTGGCCGCGCAACGACCTGTTGTGATCCCGTCATGGCGCGCTACGCCCGTGTCGCTACTTTGGCCGCGTGTCTCATATTCGCCAGCGGTGAGTCCAAACCTTTTTAATTACCTTAAGAGACCGACAATTTCGCGACGTCCGCGGGCATAGGATGCCCACCTGCATTATCAGTGGTTGCGTCAAAGCCGTAACGTTTCACAAAAGTGAATAGTGAAGTTGCATCAAGTTATCGTGACCAACTGCGTCTCTTCAAAAGTTTATTAATTAATGCGGCCTAACGAGATTTCCTTGCATCAAATGACTTAAGAATGTAATCAATGCGACGTGAACATTTCAAGGACATTCAGAAATATATCTCCGTAACAACTATCGAGTCTCACTTCTGTATGTCAGTGTAGTGAAATCGAATGTTAATGATCATTTTGTTACAATGTAGGACATATTTAGTAGTTACGAAAACATGTTATCTGTCACAGTCAATGGAAGTGTTAACTAACAGCCGGCGTATATATTGCCTCCCTTAAATTTAAAAAGCTTTTTACGTTTCACTTCATTTCGTCGAAACAATTAATACTGTAAATTACTGAAAAAAAATCAATAAGTGTTTGTAGTACGAACGTATAGTACTTGTCGCAGCTGCTTACTGTTGCGTTTGAGAACTTTCACATTCGGTTAGTGTTGCGCCGCCGCCACCACCGAGACCGCCGATGACGTCACACGGCATTCGTGGCCCTCGCCAGCGGCGAAGCGGCACTCCGTACACGAGCTTGCTATTAAGTCTCATAAAAGACACGATTACATATGTATGCGTTAATACATTATGTATGTATACACCATATTACTGGTATTCAACTTTTCACGTTTATAACATTTACAACAGATTGTAACAATACAAGAAACTATTTATTGACTGAATATGTTTTTAATGCCAAACATTGTATTTGTTAGTTTACAGAACAGGTTTATCAGAGATTGCCATGACAAGTTAACGGTACATGTATGCTTATCAAAAATTTTAATAGTGTCTAAAAATGATTTTCGGGGTTTTTACTGAAAACTCTATACATGCTTTTCACCAACCGTGTAAATGAGTACTGTGATTATAATAATTTTTGTTATATATGGTCCTATACTTTGTTTTATGAACTCTTCTATTTAAAATGCTATATTTTACCTGACCTCTGTGTATGTACAAATATGTATATGAAACCTCACATATAATATTTCCCCAAACATATTACATATAGCTTATTTTGGTGACTTAGTTTATTGAAAAAAATATGCTTGTTTGTGGAATAAACATTGTGCATTTAGAAGTTTACCAAATGGCAAAGGTAGTTTTAAGAAAAACACTTGTTACCGAAAGCAAGTCAAGTGAATACAAAACAATGGAGCTGCAATATTTTTTATCTGTTCAATAGATAAAAGATATTGATGTAGTCAAAATATTTCTTCTTTTATCTATATTATTTTCAGTGCCAATTACATCGTTGCTGTTTCATTTATTAACAAATTTATTTTTGTTCCAAACAGATATCTTTATAGTTTTTCTAATGCTATTGAAGTGCATTGTTTCAATGATTATCGTTTCCACTCTGTTAATTAAGTACTTAATGCAATACGTTCTGAAATTTCAAACATCGTCGTAATTAAATGATAAATAATGAACGAATAATATTGCAGCATTTCTGTAGTTTTTTAATTTAGTAAGCTTATTATCAAAGCAGGCAATTGTTATAACATATTTCATTTCTTTTTCACATATTCGTCTACAAGTTCAGCAAAATATATTCATTACCTATGCAGCTTTTTCTTTAACCCTGTTAACTTTCTTAATACATCGGAATGTTATGATTAATTGATGACAAAAAAACTCCGACGTAATAACTCCACAAAGCCATTTAGAATTCTATTATTTACAAAGAATAACCTCACGTTTGTACTTAATATTTTGGACCAAAAGAACTGGTGACAATACAAGGAAAGTCAAGAGGTAGCGCTACATATTTATGAAGCCGTACTTTGGTATGCAATTCACGTGGTCGGTCGACGCCCGCGCCTTCTGGTATAACTGTCACTTGTTCACTATTCACAGTGCCAATCAATTAAGTTCTCAATTCTTTAATATTCCACAACATACGTCATGCACATTCTAATTCGATCAACAGTATACAATCTGACATGACGATGTTCTAAAAAAAATTAAAATCAATAATTCTCAGCGGCGACAACCTTTTCATACTTTTTCTACATGTTTTAATATTCAATAATTCTCATTAAAGTCAAACAATTCCCTCAAATAATAATGTTTTTAAGTTTTTATAAAATTTTAAAAAAATTTTTTTGAACTTTATGATATACTTCATACAAAAGACATCAACGCACTCTTCTTCATAGAGAGGTTGTGCTATCTATTACTAGCCTGAGAAAGTCACCTATTGACATGTACATATATATTACTTCATGCATAAATTTAAGGGCAAACGTACCGTGAGATCAGCATCACCACTGTTCAAACACGTGGTAGATCCGGGTCAAAGAGGACAAGTTCTTATTTATCTTTTCGACGGTGACAACTATTTTCATTTCAACATGTATTATTCATAGTTCGACAATTAAAATCTTTAATTATTCACAACTCATAATCAAAAAATGTTTCCCTCCCCTTTTTCCCCCGCGAAATTTACATATTAACATATTTTTGTAATTCTTTAAAAGTTACCCATTAATCATGATTGAAAAATTTGTGAAAATTTGGTTTAGTAATTACGAGAACAGGAAAACTGTGTTGGATTAAATTGGCCCCAATGCATCTTTATAAAAGAAAACGATTATTCGTATATTTTTTTTTTTACTTTTAAATAATCAAAATAAATAATGTATTATTTTTTAATTTAATTTCAAAAAGTAATGAATGAATTTCACAAACAAACTCAAATAGCAAACATAAAATATAAAAAAACTTATTTGAGTAATTTAAGTTTATTGTCATGAGGTAGATCAAACTAGAAACTCGATGCAAAGGAATTCGATACTTAGGTATTACTTGTGCGTGCTCACAAGGTTGTCTGAGTCGTTGCACGTTTTTAAACTGTGATGTTATGTTTATTATTAGTTTTATTTTTCAAGTCTTGACAAATCATTACAAAAAAATTGTTGATTCATCATCATAGTTTTTTGAATATTTTTTAGGGTGAAATCAACTTTGTGGAAAAACAAACAAACTTAGGCACCTAATAGTGGATAATCCTTTAATGAAAACGCATTGAAATTCGGATATAACATCAATATAGCAATAATGCTATAATGTTGATGTTATTTTTTATTTATGTGTAAACATAAATAAGAAAAATCTTGTTAACGGAGAAATAATAAGATTTTTTTAGTAAGCATGCAGTTTGTATATTTTGGACGGGCTAATAAACGACGAGCTTTGTTGCGGTATCGGCTAGACCTATAACGTTAGATAATGCCACAAGAGTTCGATTTCCTTATGTTACGTGCCCCGTACACACGCACATAGTTCGCATCCATTTCTTATTACTATCACAAACTGTAAACATTACTTAATCGCATTAGCTTATTAACAGAGAAGAAATAACGACCCCAACAATTGTACAGCAAAATTGCACGTCACGTAAGTTCTCGCGCCATATATGTATTATAATACTAACTGTACTCGTTTAATAGAAAAAATGTTTGTCGAATTAAGTGGAAATTTAATAATTTAGAACAAGTTCAATAATAATCTTAATAGGTTGATATCACTAACGTTTCCTGATTCACAACTAGCGGTCAAGGAAAACAACAATTCCGTGACCTTTCGAAATTAAAATCATTTCGACAGCGCTACCCGTACAAAGCATCAAATACCATGCATAATGTAACAATTTGGCATAGACTGAAGAACTTAGAAAGAGTTGTCCTTGTTGCTTGCTTAAGCGCTGACATTTCAACGCCAGTCAAATGTCACGTGCGCTCACTTCACCTTTGACATTTTAACGTCCAAGTGACATTTTAGATCTAATAGATAAAAAACGTCGGCAATTATTTAATCACTGCCTGTTACTATGAGGTTATAATTTTACATAACGTTTGCAACGTAGTAAATAATAATGCAACAGGAAATGGGTGAATAGGAACAGGTAGAGACAGTTGCTTCCGGAATTAAGTGCACGACATTGCCACAAGTCGTTTTAGTTTAATGTTGTTGTTTGTTTGCGCAGCGGTTGCTGATGGGCACCGTTGGCGGCGGCAAGCTGATGACGCGCCCAAGAAAGATGAAAGCCTGGAGCAAGAGCTATGCAAGGACAAGGACGCTGGCGAGTGGTTCCGGCTAATAGCCGGCGAGGGCGACAACTGTCGCGACGTCATCCAGTGTACTGCCTCGGTCAGTCCAATAAGCGATTACTACTTTTACACTCGAACCCTTTCATGTTACAATGACCATTTGTATCAATGCCACGTATTCTTTCTTGGTCGTAAAGATTATACATTTTTGTTACGTATAAGTAAATACTCTACGTATTTGATATTTAAATTAAAAAGAATCTGCACGGGTAACATATTTTACTATTGTACAGAATTTTAAAACTCATTGTTTGAATTTAATTTTACATAAATATGTATGGCGCGTCAACTAAGCCGTCCATATACACATAAATTAATCTATTTAGTCTGACCATTTTTGTATACTATAACTACTCGTTAAACCTATTTTGCATAAAAAAATAATTATCTTAATGTATGTATGAGAAATATTCAATAACTATATGCTCAAAAGTATGAATTTTAGGACTGATCCCAATACATTTCCTAATCCTAGTTATGTTTTTCTAACAGACCTTATGCAAGGCTTCTTTTTAAATTGTGTAATATATCAATTTTATTTGTTTAGGGTATTCAAGCTATCCGTTGTCCAGCTGGTTTGTATTTCGACATTGAGAAACAGACTTGTGATTGGAAAGATGCAGTCAAAAACTGCAAAGTGAAGAATAAAGAGCGCAAGGTTAAACCACTTCTGTACACTGAGGAGCCTCTATGTCCAGATGGTCAGTTAGCGTGTGGAGACTCTACTTGTGTTGAACGGGGACTTTTCTGTAACGGCGAAAAAGATTGCCCCGATGGATCTGATGAGAACTCTTGTGGTAAGTAACACCGTTATTACTTGTATTTCTTCCGCTTTACTCATATGTTCTTAAAGAAAACGCAATCTTGTCTTGACATTTATTTTCATTTGAAATACTACTGATGTACAAAATCTAAAATTAAATAAGCTAGTGAACTTGAATGGTTAAAATTACGCAGGATAGGCTCACAAAGTGTGACGAATGGACTGAAATGCCAATCACTTGGCCTAAAAAAACAGTCACTGTGATAAATCATGTTGTAATATACCTTAAACCCATTCATTTATCCTCAACTTAAATAATTCCTTTATATTTGGAATAAAGCCTTATAGTTATAATAATAAGACATTCCACCCGAAATAATAATATATCATTGATACTCACACTATACTTACATTCGTATACTCAAGCACGTGTACTTTAATTTGCAAACTTCGACTCAATCGTTTTGACCTCAACCTTATATATATATAACCAGTAATAACTATGAACCAAATTAATTTATTTTTCGTTAAAGGAATATTAGCATTACATTAAATAGTAATAAATTACACGACCAAAATGCACCGAGCATGTGAAACACCTTTAATAACTTCGTGACTTGATCAATACATCGAGGTTAGCAAGAAGAATATGTTTAAAATGACTTGGAATATCATTACAATGACTCAAAAAGATTATCTTCCGCGCAATGTAATGCGATTATCTATATACATAGATAGGGTTTATTTTAATTTCTTTAATTATGTTATCTAAAGTTTTAAATTATTATAAAATATATTTCTGTAAATTTTATATTATAATTATATATATATATATTCAGTAAATAAATTTCTGAAATATTTTTATAAATATTAATATTTTATATGAATTTTTCAATTTTTTTTTATTTTTAATTTCTAGTGTTAGTCTCTGCACTTGAAAGTTAGTCACTGCAAATGCAACTTAAAAATTTGTCAATGTATTTTGTGAAATAGTTTTTTTAGACATGATACAGGAAACTGTTATCCCTACACAACATCAATTAGTTAAATCTACTTAAATGCCTGAGTTTAGATTATAGGATTTTAAACAGTGAAATTGTCCATTTTTGTTTGGAATTTCATTTCAGGCTACAACCTTTTTTTCGTACACACCGGTTTCTTTATAGCTGCCTAATAACAATATTTTTCATGTATTGTGATAATAAATATAGATAGCATAGTCTCCTAACTAGATTAGCTATTATATAAACAAGATTTGGATTGAGTAATCCTTGGCGCTTTTGCAATTATTTTAATTTCTAGGGCACTAGTTCAACTCGCGCAAACGTCAAGACATAACTTTTAATGAAGTGGATTTCTGTGTCACATTTAATTAAATTTTGTTTAAAATTGATAGACGTATTGTATTGTATTTTTATTAAATATTTCAATTCTAATATGACTTCATCTCTTTTAGATATTGACAACGATCCCAATAGGGCACCACCATGTGATGCCTCGCAATGTGTTCTACCAGATTGCTTCTGTTCTGAAGATGGAACTATTATTCCTGGAGACCTTCCCGCACGTGATGTACCACAAATGATTACTATCACTTTTGATGATGCTATAAACAACAACAACATAGAGCTTTACAAGGAAATATTTAATGGAAAACGTAAAAATCCAAATGGTTGTGATATCAAGGCAACATTCTTTGTTTCACATAAATATACAAACTATTCTGCTGTTCATGAAACTCACAGAAAAGGGCACGAAATAGCAGTACACTCAATCACGTAAGCTATCACACTTTATTTTTATATTATTTATTTTATATAGCATTAAGTTTTCACTATTTTTTTATTGGATGCAATTACATTAATTAGTTATGAAAGAAAAAATAAAAATATCCAGCAATATTTATTCTCATAATTTCATTCCATTCTTAGACACAATGACGACGAGCGCTTTTGGAGTAACGCAACTGTTGATGACTGGGGAAAAGAAATGGCTGGCATGCGAGTCATCATTGAAAAGTTCGCTAACATTACAGACAACAGTGTTGTAGGCGTCCGTGCCCCATACTTGCGCGTCGGTGGCAATAACCAATTCACCATGATGGAAGAGCAAGCTTTCTTATATGATAGTACCATTACTGCGCCACTCTCCAATCCCCCATTATGGCCTTACACGATGTATTTCCGCATGCCGCATCGCTGTCATGGTAATTTGCAAAGTTGCCCGACCAGAAGCCATGCTGTATGGGAAATGGTAATGAATGAGCTTGACCGCCGTGAAGACCCCAACAATGACGAATATCTGCCTGGTTGCGCTATGGTTGATTCTTGCTCCAATATCCTTACTGGAGATCAATTTTACAATTTCCTTAATCATAATTTCGACAGACATTATGATCAAAACAGGGCCCCGTTGGGTCTTTACTTCCACGCTGCGTGGTTAAGAAACAATCCTGAATTCTTAGAGGCTTTCTTGTACTGGGTAGATGAAATTCTTCAAAGTCACAATGACGTATACTTCGTAACAATGACTCAAGTTATTCAATGGATCCAGAACCCACGTACGATCACCGAAGCCAAGAACTTCGAGCCCTGGAGGGAAAAGTGCGCGGTCGAAGGCATTCCCGCATGTTGGGTGCCACACTCCTGCAAGCTTACATCAAAGGAGGTTCCCGGAGAAACCATCAACTTACAAACGTGCGTTAGATGCCCTGTCAACTACCCATGGCTCAATGACCCCACGGGTGATGGACGTTATTAAGCGCCAAGATCTCGCGCCGTACGCGGCCCTAATTAGTTATCAAATAAATGCGATGGTGGGGTTACACGGACGATACATTTGAACTACAAAGTAACAAAACTGTATTGTTTGATGTATTCGATTGTAAAATGAATACGTGATGCTCCAATTTTAAAATGTACATAATGTACATTTGTAGCCCGTCTGTAGTCTAAGTACCTACCTAAATAAATGTAATATAGACTCACATGAATATTTAATAGGTCTGTTTAATACTTTATGTGATTTTTCTACTGTAAGTCTGTTGGAATAAAATAAAAATACAAAATATAAAAATTTTACCTGTCTTTAATTTAACATGTAACTATTTAAACTTACTCTTTTAACTCTCAAGTAATTACTATTAACATATAAAACTTAAATATTATCAACATAACAGATAAATTATATCACGATTACAGTACATAAAAAGCTCTTATTAAGATAAATTAAAACCGAGTAACATAATGTTATAAGATTAAAAAGCTCGTAAGTTTTTTTCAGACAGAACAAAAACATGACTCACAGATTAGAAGCATCAAAGGAATTCTTGAGCTTCAAAACATTTAAATGGTATAATCCATCGACACATAATAATCGCGCAGTAATTCAATATATAACTGCTAAAGAACTTGAACAATGCTGGTTCACGTGGTCACTAACCGCTAACATTGCATACTCGATGTTTGTTATTTCGTCTGTATTCATGACTATGCATTTCTCGTAATGGAATTTTCAAGATGAAATGTTGCTTGAATTGCACATTTTAGACAAACATGAGCCTAATCCAATTTTAAAAAAATAGAAAAAAAAAATTAAGAGTACTAATTAATACTAAAGACAAAGAGAAAGAAGTAAATTTGAACACATGAAAATTAAATTACGCCTTGAATAACTCACAAATACGTGACGATTATAGGATTTTAGAATCGATTACCATGGGCCTAAAATACGTCACAAAAGACAAATTAGTATTAAATAATGTTTTAGTACTTTTATAGATTCCTATATTTGCATTTTTAATGACATGTAATAACGCCCCGTTTCTGAAACATTGATCATCGTAGAAGTTAGTTAATCAGGTATCAAATAGCTTTTCAAATATTATTTGAGTTGCCAAAAGGATGGTTTTTCTTTGAATTATTATTGAACATTAAGAAGATCATTCTGATCAATTCAGATAGTTTAACTATACTTTCGGCAACTTAAATAACATTTGAAGAGCCATTTGACAGCTGATTAGTTATCATCTACGATGATCAGAAACTGGGCGTTAGTTTTTAATAAAAAAAAGCATATGTGTACTTATGTACGCACCCAAGAAGTTATACTAAGTTAAAGTAATAAGTTTTATAACGATTTATTTAAATAACTTGGAATTATTGGTAAATGTCAAAAATAATTTTTTTCATAATTTTTCCAAACGCAACAAAACAAATATTACTTCAAAAATTTCACTTGACCAACGATAAAACGTGGATAAAAAATTGCAACTTGAAAAAGTAGTACTTAAAATGCTGTTGTTAATGACGATTAACATCAGCATTTTAAATAGTTACCTAATTGCTTTTGTCACCCACACAGTCTTTAAATATGCAATACATTCAAAATCGGCCTTTAAATTAGCAACATTTTGAAACAAATTTTAATAATTAAAGATGCGACACTCTTTTCGAATGAGCTGAAAGTAATTAAAAATTTTGCCATGTTGCTAATCACAAATGGGCTCTTAAAAATAACAATAGCAGTGGGCGACGCCAACGCACTGACATGCATTGTAGGTGTTTTCTTGCACATCATCACTTCCAATTACGCTTCTGCATATTAAAGTGGCAACAAACTTTCCATTGGATTTTGCAACGTTCAGTGTAAATGGAAGCTTAATACATCCAAAATGGAATATTAAAGACAGTGTTAATACATTGTATTGTTAGCAATTTCAAGATAAATAGAGAGCTAGAGGTTTCTTTTGTGTACATTAACGATATTGAGCACATAGAAATGCAGAGAAGCGCAATACAGCCTGTAATAGTGAAAGCAGTGAAAGTCTTCCTTCGTTTCGGTCGGGTGACGGAGTTCAATGTTTGTGATGATAATAAGCAATTATAATGATTTCATACATAACTTTTGACATTATTAACAATAGGTGATTAAGTCTTATATACATATTACGAGCATCTTGGATACGGGAGAAGTAGATGATAATTGATCAGATCATTTAACAGCGTATCTGTCATTACGTGTTATAACAAAATATTTTTTTTGTTTACTGTCAATCATCAAACGATAATTAGAAAATGACAATAAATTGGTTTAAAAACGAATACACTTGTCCCAGCCATCGAACTGTTGGATACAAATAATAAAGTTTGGCACAATATTCTATACTAGTTTTCACCCGCGGCGTCGCTCGCTTTGAAGCCCTTAAATAAATCTTTCTTTAAAAAATTCCAATAAAACTAGCCTAAGTCCTTTCTCAGGCTCTAGACTATCTGTGTACCAAATTTCATTTAAATCGGTTTAGTACTTTTGGCGTGAAAGCGAGACAGACAGACAGAGTTACTTACGCATTTGTAATATTAGTATGGATTAAATTAACATTTTATTCTTATAAGCTGATGATCTTAGGAGAGATAATAAATCATAATATTAAAACGGTAACATTTTCAGGTTTGCAAAGTTTCATGTTAATCGGATGTCTGCAAGTTGATGGAAACTTTTATTCAATGATTTCAGTGCATTCACAAAGTTTATTCATAAATATATTCGTACATATGTATATACTTACGGACATACATAAACACCTCATGGTATACAAAAATATTGTATTATACAACATATCTGGAAGGAATATGACAGTTTCATGTACGTAGTATTATAGTTTTATAGCGTAAATACCAAAGTTATATATAGTATATTATATAAAATTACAGTCAGACAGTATTTAAAGTCATACAATATAATTCCTGTCAAATTCTGAGATTTTAATTCAAAATTGAACTAAAAGTTATGAAACTTGTTTAAATGATTTTAGCCGGGATCACATTTCATGAAAAGGAGATTAGATTTTTTTTAATAAATTTAACGGTGTTACTTTTCCACACAAACAATCAAAAACTTTTTTTTAATGTGAGGAAGTGCAAACGACCTGATGTTAAGTGATAACCGCCTGCCCATGGACATTTGCAACACTCGTAGGGTTGCAGATGCGTTGCCACCTTTTAATAATGTGGGCCCCGGCTACCTCACTCACCAGACGAAACGCAGAAGTGCAACACTTCTACTTTACGCCGGTCTTCTGTGAGGTCGTGGTACTAACCCGTACGGACCTGCCCATTCGTGCAACAGCGAACACTGTTGCGTGGCCCTACCACCGTTAAATACCACGTATTTATAATATTAAAAATACTATTATGATACGAAATTTTATATTAATTTATATACCATATACTGCAATACTTGACTTAATAAGGTTAAAATTAGCATGGAAATATATTTTTTAATCTTTTACACTCTTAAAGTAATGTTAAGATTTACTCTACTTATAACCGTAATAAACATATTATGCGCTAATTTCCATATAATAAAACAATTAAATAAACGAGTTTTCATAATCTGTATATTTTGTATTTTAGTGGTCGAATACAATAATATCCGTAACCTTAACAAGATATACAAAAACTCAATAACTCGATTGTTTACAAGTTTTCCAAGAAATTTCACGTTGTTTTTCGTCGTTGAAAATGAATTTAGATAAGTTTATATCCCTTTACTTGTTTTATATTTATTAACAGCGTCATTAAATAAATAAGATATCCGTTCAATATTCTGATTAAGCTCTAACATTTTTATTATTCAATTACAAATGTAGCTGGCCTTTTACATATATTACTTATACATAACTTAGTCACTTGAACTTACTTTACCAAGAAGCACGCAGCTATACAGTGAGACTATACATGGCTATAGGTATACATGCATTGTCGCAAGTGAAAGGAAATATCTTGAAGGATCCTTGACTCTTGCGCGCCTACTCGGCCGCGCCACCGCGTCGTCAGCTATACCTATGCCAGATACGTCGGTTTTCCTCCGCGCATCTGAGTAGCATTGTATTTTATCCAGTAACTTTTGACTTAAAAATAAAATTTCGTTATAACTAATACGGCTAAAATATTTTCATGTTTAAACGTCATTCATGTTCAATTTTTATTTTCAATAAACAACATCAACGCCATATAAAAGCCACGGTCTTCATTCGTGTTCATTAAACATACCTATTATTTTTACCTTGTCCTGATATTATCATCGAACAGACACAAAATTTGGAGAATTTTTGTATTTAATATTTTTTATCAATATCAATGACTATCTTTGATAGTATCAAGGACCGTGAAGCATTTTTATAGAGTTTGATGAATGTAAGTTGTTTAATCCTGATATGTCAAATGCAAAAAATGTGGTATAATCGGACATTCGATACAAAGGTAACGAGATGTCTGTACCGATGACTAAGTAGGTCAAGTATCCGGGTCGTATATGCACGTAACAACTGCATATTGGTAAGAAACTAGCAATCGATAGGTTAAATGTTAAATCTTCCGAAACATTACGCAACGTATAAGACATCTCGAGAAAGTGTAAATCACTAGACAACCTAAATTATAAAGTGAAACCTGAAGTCATATCGTCGATTTTCCAGAAAGTTTACATGATGTAATTCGAAGAATGTTCTTACACATATTGAGTAAAACAATACTACGTGCGTCGAGTTTCCTTAAATCGAAAACCTTACACGTCGTCGCACGGGATATTACAATTTACTAAAATAACATAGATTATTATCAGTATGCGTCTGTTCTTAATAAAAGGTGATCTACTGTATTCGAATAGTCAATAATCGAAATACATACCTACATAAAACATGAAAACATGTAGGTACCTTCAAGTACACAGGCAATAGTCGTTGACATTCCTCGCAA